AACACCATGCTTTTCGAGTAGCACTTATTCCACAAATGCAACAGTATTATTTTCTTTTCTTTTCTTTTCTCCACCATCAATTTGATGAGAAGTTCTGTTGGATACTGACTTCTCAGCAACTTCCTGTCTCCCAACCACCCTAACCCCACCCCATATACCCCCCCGGTTTAAAAAAGCGCCAAACAAAAAATGAAAAAGGAAAAGGAAACCAAAACAACCCAAAGAGACACATGCATTTCTAAAACTAGGTTTCAGTCAAGTACTTTCTACTTTTTGGATAGAAACCCATTTGTTCACAATCAGACCATCACCCGTGGGTCCCGAGCTTGTGTTCTCACGTTCACATACGCCTTTTTTTGCATGAATAAGGAACACAATCTCCATCTCCACGTGTGCAAATTCCTATTTACGCTACGCTGTTTTTTTCTCATGCGAAGAGCTAATGGGAGGCAATACCATTATAGACTCTCACCTTGAAATCCACCAAGAGATTTCCAGGCCCCCAACAGTACAGAAATTGGTCACCTCAAGCTTTCAAAATGACGTGTTTTTCAATCAGCTCCCCCCTCCTCCCCCCAAAACGAGACACGCCACATACCAAAAAAAAAAAAAGGAAAAAAGGCAACCGTTCTTAATAACCAAAATAATAACCAGTGAGAGATGTTCAATTTGACAAGCAACAGAATGATTATGAGGACCCGTCTGATTGGTCCACAACCTGCATAGCTGTGCTGTAAGTTTGGTTCTTTAGTTTAACGGGGTTATTTTTTTTTTGTTTCTGTCTTTTTTTTTTTTTTAAAAAAGAAAACGTTACTTCTCTGCTAATTCCACATGTTAAAAACTAAAAAAAAAAAAAGGGGGGGGGGAGAAACACAATTCTATTCACAATAACTAATATTCCTTCCCAACGCCATCTCTTGGGTGGGTGGGTGGACCAGGGTGGGGGGGAATAACATTACTTTACATGGGGAAAGAAAAAACCCTTAATTGTGCTGTATTTGCAATCCCTCAGGCTGAGCAGACATAGACATGGGGCAAAACAAGAACGGCACAGAGTCAAGTCACATGACTTTGAAATAATAGCTGAACGCTAACAGCTTACCTGGAATAAAAGATGACAAGTCACAGACAGGTATCTAGGAACTCTCTCTCTCTCTCTCTCTTTTGTATTTTTTTTTTATACTAAAATAATTAAAAAAATCACAGTATTTTAAGAAATAAAACCCCCACAGGGATTTTGAGCACAATTTTGTTTTCCATTCTTTTAAAACTTTGTGGTTGTGTTTTTTTCCCTTCCATTCACCATCTTGCCCAGCAGTCTCTCTCTCTCGCTTTCTCTCTCTCTACATTTAACCACAATGACAACAGGTAGTACAGACAAATGCAGAGATTTGTATTTTTTTTTTTATTTCCCTTGGTTAATTCTGAGGTACTAGGAAACAGGTGACTGTTTTAAGCAGTTTTTCTTTCTTTCTTTCTTTCTTTCTTTCTTTCTTTCTTTCTTCTAAAGCAAGTCAGTCAGTCTGGAAAAGCATAATATGTTTATTAAAACTAGAAAAAAGGCGCTCACATTTGTGCGCCGAAAAGTTGTCCTCTACATCTTCCATCCTCGTGACGCTTCTTCCATCCTCGAAACAATCCGAAGTCTCCAGGGCAAAGCACGGCGGCGTAACGCGAGGAATATTTGGGAGTTTGCTCCTCAAGTCCAAATGAACATAAACTTCCCATTGTCAAGATCCAGAAGAGTTGCAGAGATGGTACTGGAGCCACATAGTCCTCAATTAAATAAAATTAATATATGTACACACGCACACACACACACACACACACACACACACACACACAGGTACCAGTGCTTTGAAAATAGATCATTCAGTCCTAAAAGCAGCTTTGATTCTTCCTCGTCCCCCCTTCCCCACCCCACCCCGTCCCATCCATCACTGTTCAAGTAGGTTGTTTGAAATCACACCAGGTGCTCATTCGCTTTTGGCCTCTGCGTCCTCTTGGAGTGATTTATCAGCAGCAGCAGCAGCAACAATGCAGACAGCAGTTTCGTTCTTGTGGGAAAAGTCCACCACGATTTCCGCGCTGCTTTCCATCTCTTCTGCCAGTGGTACCGTAACATTCTCCTCCGCCTCCTCTTTCAGCTGGCTATCTTCAACAATCGCCCGCTTGGTTTCGTTCACAGCCCTAGAAATTCAGAAAACGGAAGGTGAGGCGTTTCGGACACGCATTCTACGTAAGCCAATTTGTCAGCGCCGAAATGATATAATAATAATAATAATAATAATAATAATAATAATAATAATAATTATTTATTATTTATACCCCACCCATCTGGCTGGGCTTCCCCAGCCACTCTGGGCAGCTTCCAAAAAAATATTAAAATACTGTAATACATCAAACATTAAAAGCTTCCCTAAACAGGGCTGCCTTCACATGTCTTCTAAAAGTCTGGTAGTTGTTGCTCTCTTTGACATCTGGTGGGAGGGTGTTCCACAGGGAGGGCGCCACTACCGAGAAGGCCCTCTGCCTGGTTCCCTGTAACTTGGCTTCTTGCAGTGAGGGAACCGCCAGAAGGCCCTCGGTGCTGGATCTCAGTGTCCGGGTAGAACGATGGGGGTGGAGACGCTCCTTCAGGTATACTGGACCGAGGCCGTTTAGGGCTTTAAAGGTCAGCACCAACACTATCGAGCGTCAGAACAACTTGGCCACAATAAGAAACTTTTGCCCGTGGTATGACTATTTTCCACCTTCCCATTTCGACTCTCTGGCACCCTATCTGCATAACCTAGCAATTCTAAAATATAGGTGAGCTTTTACTCTTGCAAGATTGAATGTATTGCCCTCAGCTGTATTTGAGGGACGATTCCAACAGATTCCACACAGAAAACGCTTATGTCCCTGTGGAGATGGCAGTGCCAAATCGGTGGCGCATGCCCTTCTGGCTTGCACTCTTTATAAAGACTTGAGGAATTAGATTACCACCCCTCTTTTATTGTCCATTTCGGGTCACCCAACCACTGCCACAGTGTCCTTTCTCTTGGCAGATCAAGATGAGCAGGTGACAGCAAAGGTTGCCAGGTTTTTAGCTGGGGCAATCAGAATAAGATCCACTATTTGACTATTGATTCAAAACCCTAAAATGTATTTTATATAACTGACTTTTTATTTCTATACTTTGTATATCGTACTGTTGCTTTATTGCTATGGCTGACGCAAATAAAGATTCATTCATTCATTCTACGTAAGCCATACCCCCAAGTGGCGGTGGCTAACGAAAGGAAGCCATTTTATCCGAAAATAAATCAATGGGTCTTTGCCATAGTTCCTTGGCCCTGCCTTAAGCCAACACAAACAGCCCATTACTCCTTCTGATGTTTTCCACACGGTCTCTTAAAGTGGTGTGTTGGTAAAACTTCTCTCTTTCGGAACGGGACAGAATAGCAGTGGCAGCGTAATTGGCTAAAACGAATTCAGATTGATCCATTGGCATCCATTGGAGGAAAACGGAAGGACGGTGGTATTGTGAAATGCTTGCAAGCTTGAACTTTATATGCACAGAAACGGAAAGACAAAGAGACTCCAACTAAGGAAGGATGGCTTACAAAAACTGATGGGACTACGCAGAAATGGCAAAACTGACTGCTAAAATAAAGAGGACAAAATGATACTACCTTCCTAGAAGAATGGAGGCCATTGGTGCATCACCAATTGAACTATCATTCTTATATGAAATCACGCACAGGATTTGAGATGTGAGCGACGGAAGAATGTAGAGAAAGGGCTTTGGAAGCTTAGACAATAAATATAAATGTGTTTTAATGCAGCTGCTATCGGGGGAATTAAAGGGCGGGGGGGGGGGGGGACCAGGGAAGAAGGGTCGGGAAGTCAAGAAAAAAACGTGTAGCCAAAATAATAATAAATGATTGGAGTTATGTAATAATTTGGGAAAATTCATAAAAATCATTATAAAAGAGAGAAATGCTTGCAGTTTATTGGTTGTGGGCATTGTTCCAGAATGAACGATTTTTATGCAAAACTGCAGCAAGTTACTGTTCTGATTGGCTATTTATTTATTTAATTCCTATACTGCCCTTTATCTGTGGATCACAGGGTGGTTTACAACATAAAAACCCATAACACAGCAACAAACAAAAACAATACCCCCCCCAAGTTTAAAAGGCCATAGATTATTTAATTGGCCAACCAAAGACGACTGCTTCATGTTTGACTGGATCATTGACAGTGTATATCCATTGAACTTTTCCTTTGGGATTAGGCTATATGGGGATGGTTTGTTATTAAGTTTAAAAACAAGCTAAGGAGGAGAAGGAGGAGGAAAAGGAGGAGGAGGCTACCTGGAGAATCAGAGGGCCTTGTCACCCTGACTAAACACTATTTTTCTATATTATTATTATTATTATTATTATTATTATTATTATTATTATTAAAATTTATCAACAACTTGCAACCAAACAGACAGACACTAAAACCAAGAGGAAAGAGAAATATATTAAAAACATCCTACCCCCTTCTAATGCTGATGCCAGGCAAGTCTCCATGGGGAGAGCATTCCACAGACAGGAAGCCACTGCAGAAAAGGCCCTGTTTTTGTGTTACCGCCCTCTGGACCTCTCACAGAAGCGGCACATTAAAAAGGGCTTCCAATGATGGTTGCAGGGTCCCATTTGGCTGACAACATGGGATGAAGTGGGTTCCAAATCATGGAAGTTTACGCCACAGCCAATTTTTTAGGCTTTAAGGGAAGGATGGGGAAACTTTAGCCCTTCTGTTGTTAAGACTCCAACTCCCGATGGCCACCAAGTTAGACTGGGAGAGAAACCCGTGTCAAAAACCCAGGAGAGCTTCTGTCAGTCAATGTAGAAAGCACTGAACTAGATGGACCAGCAGACCAGCTTAGAATCACAGAATTGTAGAGTTGGAAAGGATCTTGAGGATTGACTAGTCCAACTCCCTGCAATGCAGGAATATGCAGTTGTCCCATAGGGGGATTGAACCCGCAGCCTTGGCATTACCAGCACTGTGCTCTAACCGACTGAGCTATCTAGGCTGGTATACGGCACCTTCCTATGCGCCAACCAATGTGTTCAAAGCAGAGAGACTTCGACCAACTTACATGCCGTGCCTCAGCACATGCCGTTCCCACTCTGAGCCCTCTGCAAACGTCCGGCCACAAAATTCACAGGGGAAACGTTTTTCTGGTGGTCCATTCTCTGAGAACCTCATGGACCCTGGAAGAAAACAATACATATGTTAGGCTCATGTAAGAGTCCTCCCATTTCTCTTAAGGAAGCAGAAAACGAAGTTTCTCTTGAAGCCCAAGAGAACGTAAACAAGACCTCTTAAAAAAGGAATCTGAGATGAGAATGCCAGTATCCTAGACTAAGGCATGTGCAAATTTGGATTGAGTAAGGAAGATGGACACTCAACAGTGCTCATTTAGGCATATATGAAGTGGCCAAACCAAGATATAATAACATTTGACTAAAAGATTTTGCTTCATGTGCAAACTTTCAGATTTATTCCCCCTCCCCACATCCAATGTAACTGATTAGTTATTCATCTCTTATTTTCACCTTCATTGTAAATTACCTTTCTCTTTAACACCCTTTAAAACAATTATAGGTGCAAGGGCAAGATGTCAATTCCAGAGCTGAACTGCTGTAACTGTTACATTCTTGTCCCCAAGAAGCCCTTTGGTTATGTAAGGAGACTAAAGATCTCTTAACACAGAATTCTCAGCACTCAGAGAGTGGCGTTGGACGTAACAGTGATGTGAAGAGTACAGGAAATGCGAGTGTTCAGCACCCCTTGTTCCTTTGCCTCGCTGTCTTGTACAGAACAGATCATCTTCCACCAGAAAGCTAATGCAGAGCTGAGAAAAAACTATTTCACCTCAAACGGAGATCCAGAGAACATGAGATACAGGCATTTCCCAAAAAATCTCTTCACGCTGTTATAATGTCTGAAGCAGCTCTCACAAAAGTTTTGGTTTTGCCATAGGTTCTTTGGGGGTTAGAATTAGTAAAAAGTGTAGTCTTAGAACTGGGTTTAACCTTCTCTTCCCCACCCACCAAAGGCGTCTTGTGAAAATATAGGCAACAGGCAATCTGAAAAGAAGGAGCAGCTTGCCAGCATTAGCTGCCTTGCTCAGCGGACGTTTACAATGCACTCCAGGCTCACTGAAACAAATGTACGTTTTGCCACCGGCTCCAATCAGACATGGACTGCAGCCATTCCTCCTATACAAAGGACGCCCCTTGTACAGGGTAAGACCCAACAAAGTGTTTTATTTAGTCTGGGTATGCCCTGCCAATCACAACTGGAGGCCTGATCCAGGCAAAGTTTGAACACTCCAAGTCTCGTTGATTTTCCGCCGGAAAGAACAAATAATGTGCTCAGATCAATGCGGCTGAGAAACGCTTAAGCTCTGGCTGGATCATGCCCCGCCAAATAAAACTGAGAACTCCTGACACCTTGAAGGCACAGTAGACATTCCACACGGCTGAGACGCAGGCCCCCTGTGTGAACAAGAGCGGCCAGGCCACCAAACAAAAGATGAAACGTTTTCTCACAAAATTAAGATGATCGCCACACAGGCCATTAAAAATAATTGCTTGGACTATCTCGCTTGATTCTTTTCACTGAAAATGAGATGGCGCCATCTGCTCCAAGCATTAATTCTTTAGTGGGGATTATCTTGAGCAAGAAAACAACAGAATGCCAATGCCTTTGCCTTCCCGGAGTCCTCTCAAAGTACATAATGAAAGAAATGGGGATTTTGCTTCATTTACTGCTGATCTCTGCTTGCCTCATTTCCACGTTTTATTATAATGTGCACAGCTTATGAGCTAACTTAAGCTACTGAAAATCTCTCTCACACACATACACACACAAGAGCCTGCCCTTATTTCTCTGGGCAGTTTCAGTGCAAAGAAGAGATATTGTCACTTTCTTCCCAAAAGCTTTTTCTCATGCATTGATTGTTAAAACCATCTATCAAGGAGTGTACATTACTTTAGTTGGGTTTTTTTTTTCTCCTCTTGATGTTAAAAGCATCTTCCGCAGAATGCTGATCTTTATCCACATAAGTATCTCAGTTTGGTCCTCAAACAGAATAAATTTGCCACAACATGAGGAAGGAAAAGGAGGGGAACTGTCTGCAGTTTTAATGAAAATCTGGTGCTGAAAATGAATTCATTCCGAAAATGAATTCATTTACTCTAATAAGCATGTATTAGACAATCGGCATAATTTGCCTTTCTTTGTCTTACTCTCTCCCTAATCCCGAATTTGGTTGTAGTGGGGGTCAGGTGTGAAAGGGCAACTGAAAATGTTAGTGGGCACAAATAGTCATGGTTACAGCCTTCAGAGGATTGGACTTCAACATTTTCCCCTCATCTGGTGGTTTAAGACTTTTCTTGTTGAAAATGTTCAGATGCAACACAACTTGCACTGTAGGCTGACATATCTGCATGGGAAGGGTAGATAGAGAGGAGCCAAGGGTTTCACTAGACTGTCTTTCTTGTGCCAACAGTGTTAGACTGATACTCCCAAGACTGCTGACCTCATTTCCTACTTCCTTCTTTCTCATCCTTAACCTTGGGAGAGGAGACCTCTCTCCTGCCGAGAACAAACAGGAGACACAACTCTTTGTATCTCCACCTTTGTTAGATAGAACCAGGATCTTCCGTATGAAGTATGCATTTCCTTTAATAAACTTAGCTTTCTTATTTTGCAAACTCAAGAGTCTCGATGTAATTATATCCAGTGTAAAGTGTGCTTCTCCAACAGTGTTTCAGTGGTCAGCTGAACTTCCAAGCTATGTTTTATTAACTCCAAACACCAACAGTTTGGATGCCTCTTGGGTCCCTCAAAGACTTCTGACAGGCCTTCTGCTGTCACCCTGGTCCAGCAACCCCACTGACTCTTAGCTGCACAGCTCTCTCAAAGGCTGCCACTTGTGGCAAACACGCTCTTCCCGATATAACTTTTTAGCGCCAGCCAGTGATTTTAGCTCTGGGCTTCTCATAGGCCTTCCAAACCATTAAGCCTCAATGTCCTCTGCCTGGCTCCAGCTTCCAGTTCTTCCTTCTTCTGCCCTCTTCTTCAACATACTCTCTGACACAGTAAAGCTCTACTTGACACACGACTGATGGAATCTCCTCTGACTTCTGGAGTTTGAGACCAGCCTTTTATTTCCAAACAGGGTCTCTCTCCAGCCAGTCACTTCAAATGTTGGCGGAATCCCCACTACCCATTCCTCAGGCCATGTTGACTCTTGTCCAAAGGGATGAGGCAAATGCCCATGGATTCACCGCTAGAACTCACCAGTTTTCATTACATTGTGTCTGTATATATATTACAGATGCTTCACTGCTAGAACTACATTTTGACAGAATGCAACTGCCATTTAAACAGCCCAGCCACCTTTGTCCCAATTCTCATACCCAGCCCAGTTGTCGCAAACAGATAATCATTTTTGCAGTAACACCGAGGCAAGAAAAATTATGGGTGCCTGGCTGTGCTGGTGCTTAGATAGTTGGTGCTGGCACTGCAGTACAAATATACAATTATATATTGTATACAACTTTCTGGTTGTGCATTAGCCATGATCTAGCCATCTTCATATTAGTTGAAAATCTGAATTAGGTGAAGAGATTATGAACCTAAACTATAATAAAGGTGAATGATCGACTATTCATTTCATATGGACATTGCAAAAAAACACCCCCAAACCACTCAACAACTATTATGGACTTTTTGCTTGTGCACCAATTGTTTCTCCATTATCTGGCAGCTGATTGAATATTTCCTGGAGACAAGGAGTGGCCATTCTAAAGCATCCCGGAAATTCAGTGAGCTAGACAATGGCCTGGTTCACATATAACACTAAGCCATGGCTTGCTTAACCTGTGGTTTAAGAAACAAGGTAAACCTGAGTTGTCCCGTGGGTAATCAAATAACCTATGACTTGGTTCTCCAAAGCTTCGTTTTTCCCCCAAAGTGCCTTCTGCCTTTGTAACTTAGGGTGCTCCTGGAGCGTAGTGGCCAAACAAATCACGGTTAAAGAAGGGCATGCACGTCAAGTCAACATTACAACAAACCAAGGTTCACAGGCCATCCACAAGTCATGCCTTCAGACCATGGTTTGCTAGATGTGAACAAACCATAGTTAAGCCTTTGGGCACAGTTTGCACATAACCCAAAGTAATGATCCAATAAACCAAAGCTTATGCTTAGTGTTATATGTGAACCAGACCAATCTCTCTCTCCCTCTCCCTCCTTTAGCATTGGTGTGTCTTGGTTCATGGGGGGAAATGCAGGTGAGATAAAAAATGTTGCTTTTTGAGGGTAGCCAGTCCCAGCAATGTGCTTGGTAACAGAGACAAGACAATTATACTAACCTCTTGCTTCACTCTTGGGGCTCATCTCCTCTTCCTTCTCTTCCTCATCGCTGCTGGAACTCTCCTCTTTTTCCTTCATTTGTTCCAACTGATCTAAGTTAACCCGTCCAACCAGCTCAAAATTGCGACTCACCTTTGGGGGAAGAAAACAATGTGGCGTAATCTCATCTATTACGATTTCCCGGTCTACACACTGTGCATGCCTCAGATTTCCCCATATACCAACATTCTTTCACACAACAGGGGCTCTCAAAATATTCTGACAATAAATAATTCTCACATGAGCAAAGCAATGGTTCGAGACATAACAAAGAGAGATGGCTTTTTGCTGTCAGGGCTCACTTTGGTCTCTGTCTTTGGAGATGGTGGCAAGCCCACAAGCACCCAAAAGAATACAAGGGCTGGAAGGGGCACTACCAAAAGCCACGTAAGGAGAAGAGGTAGAAGGAGGAACCCATTGATTTGAGTTCTATAGGGCAGAGCAAGAATGGGGCATGTCACTTAGCATTCCTTCTCCAGCAGGGAAGAAGGGCTCAATGACAGGCTTACATCTTCCCAGAAGTGATTTTTAAAATGCATCTATACTGCACATGATGAAGAGTTTTCCTGGGTACTGACTCCTATTGATGACTCCCATCCTGATATGACTGTAGCCTAGCGTCGTGTCGGTGGCTAGCTGCTCCCGCACTCATAAAGGGTGAGATTTTGTAAGTTTTGGATTCTTTACACCTGTGGGATAATGCTAGCTCTCAAAAAAGGGCTGGAAGGCAGCAGGAGTTAGGGGAAAGAGAAGCAAGGGAGGGAATCCTTAAGCATGGCTAGCCATCCGAAAAGGATCAATTGGTGGAGGATGGGAGAAGGGGGTAGGTAAAAGTAAAGGAACCTTGGATGGTTAAGCCCAGTCAAAGGCGACTATGGGGTATGGTACTCGACTCTGCTTTCAGGCTGAGGGAGCCGGCGTTTCTCCGCAGTTTTTCGGGTCATGTGGCCAGCATGACTAAAACGCTTCTGGCACAACGGGACACCATGACGAGTGCTGGAGCGCATGGAAATGCTGTTTCCTTTCCCGCCAGAGCGGTACCTATTTATCTACTCGTGCTGGTATGCTTTTGAACTGCTAGGTTGCCAGGAGCTGGGACAGAGCAACGGGAGCTCACCCCATCGTGGGGATTCGAACCGCCTACCTTCCAATCGGCAAGCCCAAGAGGCTCAGTGGTTTAGACCACTGCGCCACCTGCTCCCTGTCAATTGGTGGAGGGTGGAAGAAGAGGGAAAGCACAACTCCTTGCGACTCCCCAAAATTTTTAAATGAGCAGTATGCATGCTGTTAATTTGATACTGTATCATCACAGCAGAGCCACACATGAATAAGGTACATATTCAGCCAATTGCAAAATAGCTTCTGCATCAATTCATGTCTGTATTTTCACATTAATAACTGCTGTATTGTCAGTGGAAACGCTTTGCCACAGACACGCAAGCTATATGTTTGCTCTCCAGCCAAATTGTTATGAATCCTTTGGGTTAGGTGCGTGCTGAGAGAACGCTATTAAAATAAGCTTGAGCTAGGGTGGTGAAAATGTAATGCCGTCCACAACAACGCGTGCATTATTGAAGGTGCTGCGTGTCCACAAAGCGGAATGGAAAACTGGAGGAGGAGGGGAATAGAAGAGAATGGCTGGAACCCTGAATGAGAGTATATTGCTACAGGTTCCACTTGCAGTGGCCGATAACTACGGACAGATTTGTCTTATCAAGAAGCTAGCGGTCAGCACTGTTTCCTACAGCAGTGAAGTGCACAACTGTGTTGCGGAAACATTTCTTTAAGAAGGTGTTGGACCACCTGTCGCTGTGCCTGCTGCACAGCATGTTCACCCATGGGCGCAGATGGCGCCCAAAAACTCACCTTATGCTCATCTCGAAGGTGAACATCCAGTTCGTCCGTGTGCTTGGTCTCATAGTAGCAGAGTTGGCATTTGTAAGGTCTCAGCTCATTGTGCTTCTCTATGTGCTGCTGTAGGCTTTCGTCGCTGGAGCACGTGAAGGTACACTTGTCACAGCGGAAAACGATTCCCTGCAAATATTTGGACAGCTTGGAACGGCACACTTCTATGGGAACCACTCGCTCTTCTAGTGGGGTGAAAAGAAATGGTAGAAGTTCTATTACTAAGTTTTCTCTGGTTCCCTGAAGGCAACTCACATACAGCCCCTTCATCGCCATTCTGCTATTTCCCCAAAATTTAATTTCAAACCCCTCAATTTGTTTCTCTGGCGCTTTCGATATGGACGTTACTTCTGCAAATGAATCAGAATCAGAAGAATCTTTATTTGCACCAGTCACTGGCCATAGCAATAAAATAAAATAAAAGGTAGATAGAGGTAAAAACTTAAACTATACAAAATACATTTTGGAGCTATTCATCAATAGTTCTCATTTCATTTTCATCATGAACCATGTCAAACAGGGACACTGTTCTTATCTGCAAGTGTACTTAAGTTATTTAACTTTAACTTGTTCCTGAGACTTACAGCTGATAGAACTGTGAATATCACATTAAAATAACACCAACAGTCCCCTCCCCCCCCCCAAGCTTAACCTTAATCACCAAAAGCCAGTTTGGTTTGTTTGTTTTTTATTCCACAATGTTTATATACCACTTGACTATAATAAAAGCTGAAAGCAGTTCTAAAATATGTAAAAAAAACAGCAACAACCTAAAACAATCAGTAAGAAACAGAAAAAAACTATTTAAAACATTCAAAAAAACAACTAAACTAAACTAAAAAGTTTGGCAAGTTTGTGGAGGTTGGATGTGGTTCCATAATTGGGGGGGGGGGGAGAGAAAAAAGGATTAACTGGTAAACGTAGCTTGACTTGAAAGTTGTTACAGAAGAATACTGAGGGCTCCCTGGACTTGAAAGCTGACATTCTCCAACACAGGAATTTTCAAGGGCGACTCTAGCATGAAATAGTTGAACGAACTAGTAATGAAATTTCATTCTATTCATTTGGGTTTGAATAGAGAGAATGGCTTTCTGTCCCGCTTACACATACCAATTTACTTAACCACCAGTTTCTGCTGTTGTGAACAATCTCTGGGCTTATTTTGAATAAATTTAAAGTCTAATTCAATTGTCACAGGCTGTAAAATTTTTTTTTCATTTTGTTGCTATTTGACCCCACTGTACTGTACGTCCCCCCCTTTTCTGGGGGCAGCTAGGCATTCTTTTAAAAAATTACTTAAAAATGTGAAGTCACCACTCCCAGAATGCCTTGCTCTGAGGAAGCACCTCCATGTAGAGGAAAAGTGACAGGCATGGAGAATGAGGTAAACTGAGACCTCTCTGAGGGGCATCAATTTGCCACCCTCTTCCTCTGAGGAAATTGTCTCATTTTGCCTAACTGGTGGGCTGGCCCTGGCTACATTGAAGTCTAAAAACTTTATTTTGGAACAAGATTTTGCAGTCTAGAGCCCACATAATCAGTCGCATTAATCTGCAGCAGATCGTAGAGTTGGAAGGGACCCTGAGGATCATCTAGTCCAACCCCCTGCAATGCAGGAATACGCAGTTGTCCCATACGGGGATCGAACCTGCAACCTTGGCGTTATCAGCACCATGCTCTAACCCAGCTTTTCTCAACCTGTGGGTCCCCAGATGTTGTTGAACTACAACTCCCATCACCCCTAGCTAGCAAGGCCAGAGCTCAGGGATGATGGGATTTGTAGTCCAACATCTGGGGACCCACAGGTTGAGAACCGCTGCCATGGGTAGGCAAACTAAGGCCCAGGGGCCGGATCCGGCCCAATCGCCTTCTCAATCCGGCCCGTGGACTGTCCGGGAATCAGCGTGTTTTTACATGAGTAGAATGTCTCCTTTTATTTAAAAGGCATCTCTGGGTTATTTGTGGGGCTTAGGAATTCATTTATTTTTTTCAAAATATAGTCCGGCCCCCCCACAAGGTCTGAGGGACAGTGGAACGGCCCCCTGCTGAAAAAGTCTGCTGTCCCCTGATGTCTAACCAACTGAGCCAAGGCCAGAATGCATGCTGGCTCAATCCTTGATTTACCCACTCCCCCCTGGGCAAAGAACTAACTCTGTGATTCAGGGCACCACAGTTATGGGCCTTGCCATGCAGCATGCGCAGAGCATGATGTGTTTTCTATGCAGGGTTAAGGAGCGGCGCATGCACTTGCTCCTTCTCCACACAAATTGTAGCTACCTCAGTAAGAATTTGATTTGGGTAAAAAATCATACAAGTTGCCCTTCATGGACAACCACAGTTTAAACAACAGAATTCTTTAGTGATAGTTGAATATGCGGCCATCTGAAATTACAATTTCTGAATGTCTTGCCCTTGTGAATTCCACTTGTGTGGGTGGGGGAAATCAACCTAGATAAACAGGAATCCAGTAACAAAGCAATAGGTACATGCACATCTGATCAAGGTGGAAGTTATTATACTAACCCACCCCTTTAAAAGTTGTTCCGCTCAGTGACTTAATTTTTCCTGGAATGCAAATGTAGCTGGTTCTCACAACGCCACAATTTTCCTTCTGCTGAGTAGTGTAAAACAGTAACTGCACTTAGAGAAAAAATTAAAGGCCTGGGGCATATTGTTCATGGTAAGACTGCATTCGGCACTGGGGAAAAACTGTCAGGGCATCTCTTCAAAGGCATGCCTTAACAGAAGATAGCGGCTGCAAATTGCATTATCTGGAAAAGCTCTGGCTGGGCATAGATTTGCATTTCCACGGCTCAGAGAATAGGAGTGCCAAAAGGGTTCAGGAGGTTAGGCTGTTGGGGAACTCAAGTGCATCTGTGAGCCAGAAAAGCTATTCCTTGCTGCCAGTGTGCCCATGCAACAACCCGTTCCTGGTCTTTAAAAATCCCTCCTTAAAGCCTGACAAAGTACATAGAGAGTCCCAGCTCCCTCTGTTCCCATATAAGGTAAATTAAAACTGCACTTAGGATGGTGTTCAAGTAAGCGACAAAGCACACTCCGCGGCAGATTGATAACATCCTGAAGCCTGTAACAGTTTAAGGAAAAACACATTCCTCCTTTTTTTCTTTTTTAAAAAGCCCTATGGGGTCACGAAGAGTCGGACACGACTAAAAACAACAAATTCCTTGAACCAAACAACCCAATACTCTGGCTGTAAATTGCCTCAGTCACTTATTAGGCCGTAAAGGTAAAGGGACCCTTGACCATTAGTTCCAGTCATGGCTGACTCTGGGGTTGCGGCGCTCATCTCGCTTTATTGGCCGAGGGAGCCGGCGTACAGCTTCCGGGTCATGTGGCCAGCATAACTAAGCCGCTTCTGGTGAACCAGAGCAGCGCATGGAAATGCCGTTTACTTTCCCGCCGGATGGTACCTATTTATCTACTTGCACTTTGACGGGCTTTCGAACTGCTAGGTTTGCAGGAGCTGGGACTGAGCAACGGGAGCTCACCCTGTCACGGGGATTCGAACCACCGACCTTCTGATCAGCAAGCGCTAGGCTCTGTGGTTTAACGCACAGCGCCACCCACGTCCCTTATTAGGCCTTATCTGTGGTTTAATGAAACCTGGTGTGCATTCTACTTTTGAGTAGAACCAACTCCACTGCCGTCTATTTAAATGAAAGTTTCTCATTTCCTTTTGAGACTATAGGGTGTCTGGGTGAAGGCACAAGGGACATACCTACTGTGGGACCTCTACTTACCACCATAATCTGTTCCAGCGGCCCGTCCTTTAGGCGAAACTGGTCGCTGATAGAAGCGCCGTTGTGCACATGTGCAGATGGCGGCAGCCGCCTCTGCGCATGCGCAAATGGCAGAAGCTGCTTCTGCATGTGCATGAATCGTGTCAAACCCGGTATTTACTTCCAGGTTTGCTGCGTTCGCGACATGGATCGGGCTCAAGTAGAGGTGGTCGTAAGTAGAGGTTCTACTGTATTTCCCAGACTTAAAACCGGTTAAATTATCATGTCATCTTCCTAACCCTAGCTTGCTATGGAATGGTGTCGTGTGAGGGAAGAAATGGCAGAGAGAAGTTCCAGGATTATTTTAAAAGGGAACCTGACAACTAAATGGTATGGAATCAATTTATGGTTCAATATATGTGCAACAATATCCCAGAAAATGATGAAACAGACATGAAATAAACATTGGACACTACTTCTTTTTTGCTGTTAATAGTATCTGCCTGACCTCATGAAAAGAGAGAAAGCAAAGCAAAGTTCTTCAGGAGAAAGACTGTATGACACAAAAGGTCATAGTATACTAACCCCTAAACATTAATATGGGGATATATGGCTATGACCCTGGCATAAAGACCGTGTAATGCTAATGAAACATTACAGTCCATAGCACAAATGGAATCATTCACGGCATCACACAGTTGATTCCTTGAACAGCACTTTGGATACTTGACGAAAGGCGATTAAGGAGCAAGAGAGAATAAATAAATAAGCTAGACTCTCATGGCCACGTTGAAAGGCTAACTTATTTTTAATAGGGCTAAGCTGGTTATCTGAGAGGGCAGGGAGGTTTTCCTCTGGGACTCACAGGCTTCCAACTAATTTGGATTTCTCTCTTTTGGAATGATAGCTTTGGTTCACATTATTATTATTATTATTATTATTATTATTATTATTATTATTTTAAAAAAGCACAAAATTGTGTTTTTGGCCACCTACGAAAGCCTTTCTTTTCTTCCCTTTTGAATGGACGTGAAGTCAGATAAAAGACTCTCAGCACCTGCTTTCAGCTTCCACTCAAGGGATTATGCAACCCATGTACCGTTCCTCCAAAACGGGCACGCCTGTGCGCTTCTCCCAGAGAGGCAAGTGGCTGCTTAATGAGATGGTCACCTCGGGGTGGAGAAATCAGCACAGAGGTTCAGCGGGTTAAAATGTGACCTTGCCACTTCTTTCACAAAGGCTATGAAAAACGACTTAGCAGAATATGCACTGCTAGTTCACTTTTAAGAACAACAACAACAAAAAGCAGCAAAGGTGCTAATTTCATTTAACAGCTTTTGTTTTCATCCATGTTTTTTGGGCACAGAAAAATAAATAAAAAGCAGCACATTCCAGAAAAAGCTGAAACACCCCCCCAAAAAAACAAAACGAAGAACTCAGAAAGAACCAGGAGCTCAGCTGAGTCACTTAGGCACTCCAGAAAGTATGAAACAAAATTAAACACTAGCTCTAGAAGCCTCTCTGGACATGCCTCCCCCAGCCACCAAAAAAAACACCTTAAAAAGTCTTGTAAAACAGATAACCATTCCAACATGCCCTAGAGGTCAACAGGCTCTGGCAGTCTGGCGCTATAACTCCCTCAGAGGTTAAGCTCAACACTAGAAGCCATTGTTAGCATTCACTGAGGTGTCTCTGTTACACGCATCTCGAATCCCGGGGAGATTTTTGCTGTTGGGTTTTTTGTTTTTGTTTTCTCGTTGGAGGGCCATCTGTGAAAGTCGTTGGCCTGCCTTTTCTGCCCAGCCAGAAAATAACCGAGTTCGAGTCTTCTTGCCTACCCTGCTCAGAAGCAAAGAGAAGCAGCGACTTGCAAAGGAGTCGCCATGTGCGCGCCAGCATGAAGAGAACCCTAAACAAAAGATTTCCTCCTGGAGAGATGGCACACACAGCTCTCATTAGCTCACCACCAATATCCTGCTGGGAGATGCTGCTCAGCCTGTGATCAGGCAGAATGCCACCCCAACACATGGGCATGGTTTTCGATAGCCAACAGACCATCTCTAAGCATCAAGTGTGATAACTATGGGCAGGAATCCCAGCCTGAAGAGTCCAAACAGCTGTCTCTTCCGAGCTTATAATTCAGCAGCCAACAGAATCTGAAATTCCTCTTTAGATTTCTTAAAAGCAAAAGCAGGGGGAGGAGAGAGAAAAACCACAACAAGCTAAGTTTGGGGGGTTTTGCAGTTCTGTGCTGGAACACCAGGTGAAGCTTCATGCCCGGCACAGAAACGACATTCCAAGCAATTCCAGAGGTGGAACTGATGTATACATTAGCGATGCGCACATGTTATCATGAACATTTAATCAGAAGCGCACATGTAGTAAACAAGAAAGTTCTAAGAGCAGCAAAACAACCCCTTGCATCTTCCCTGTTCATTTTGTTTTGTTTCCTTTTAACTACCAGGATGCTGAAGACAAAACAACTGATGATGAATATCACCATCCTCTTTCCAGGGGCACTGGGCTTTCCAATGAGCAATAGGAGCCATTAGTACAGACCCATGTTGGCCACTGGTACATTTCTGCGGGGTGCCTTTACCTCTGTGAAGGACGATATGGTCAATCATGTTCCGTTTATATTTGGTGTGGTACAGACAGAGAGGACAGCGGAGATCTTTGGGTCCTTCCTCAGGAACTGCTGAATGCCCAGCTTCCACGTGCATAGTAAAAGCAGATCTAGAAACACAGGGAGTAGTGGAAAGGCTCAAAACAAGGTGCTGGGAAACCACAACCATTGGGTAGTGTTGGGGTTGTTTTTTTCACCCACAGAAGCTAGAAATACCATTCTGTATTATTTCATAAAAGCAATAGTTATCAAAACTTGGCATGGCGTGCTTCCAAAAGCTAAGAAAGAATGGGTTTGTGCATTCCCAAGGCTGGTGCAGACTTGACATTGGTTGACCTCTTAAATGTGGTTTGAAGAAGGGCCACTG